TTTTTAAAGCATATTTAGGTTTTTGGTTTTTAAAACAATTTGAAACATATCCTTCATGCCGTGAGAGATTGGCATGATATTTTTTGTCATTTTCAAAGAGTATTCATTTATTAAAACAAAAACAGAATGCAAGTAAAATCTTAGAGATGCATTTGGGGGAGCAAGAAGGAAGGAACAGATAAGAGGGTGAGTGGTAATAAAGGGAAAATAATTAGTGGTGATTAAGCAAACACAAAAGTAAATGAGCATCACTCTCATATTTGGGCTTCACACATAAAAGTGTTATCAGAATATTTACAAAGCAAGGAGATACACACTTTATATATGTTTTTTGTCTATAATGGAATTACCGTTTGACAAAAGATGATTTGACTTAGTAAGTCTTCAGTTAGGTTGCCAAGCATATTAGTCATCACAAATAGCAAATCTTTCCCTAACTCAAAGAAGAAAAACTTTACAGTAACTGCCATTTTTTTTTACCATAAAAACCAAGATTTCTTGCTTCTTGCCATTTGCTATAAATCAGCTACTTTTGTAAGTAGTGATATACTCCCTTTGGAAGGGAGACGTTGTAAATTGTGATGTTCCATTGCTGACAGCAGAGATTTTTCATACAGCTCAGTTATTATGCACACACAAAACAATATCGGGTCATGAGAGAGGTTTATAGCTGAAAGCCCTATTCATTTCTATGATGTTTCCCTGTTACACTGTATCATATTTATGCTAATTAAAAATTTTTTCCATTTGGAGAAAAAACTCAAGGAATGTGCTTTCTGAACAAAAAAAATACATAAGAATAATTGCTACCATAGTTTATCAATTTATTTCTCTGTTGAAAAACAAATCATTGTTGTGCTCACCAAGCACTTAAAGCAAAACAAGGCTTGAGTTGTCTCAGAAGTAACAATCTAGAATGTTGGATAACTCTGACTAATAGAAAGAAAAGAATACAAATTTGCTTCTAAAAGGGGAGAATAGAGAAAAAGCAAGAAAGTAACAATTCTTCTAAGTACCTTCATCACAAGCAGCTTCCTATTGAACAGTCAAAGCAAACTCCTAGTGACTAAAAGGTTCCAAGACTCCACATGGAGCAATCAATAAGGGTTGTGACACAAGGCAGGTGCTAACAGAGGCTTTCAGATGTTATGGTTTTTGTTGTTTTCAATGCATTGTTAAAACTATATTTTAGGCGTAGAGCTCATGAGGCACAAAGTTATTTTCAAAGAGTGGCATTTCAGAGCTCTTATTAAGTAGATGAACTTTGTGATGATGTAATATGAAAATAATCTCATAAAATTAAACCGAATATGAAGAGTCAAACTCCAATAGACTTTTTCATTTGACATTTGAAATTTTAAAAAACAGAGACAAACCAAGGAAGAAAAACATGCTTTTAAAATCAAAATATGTGACAAAATTCACAGACTAGGAACAGGTTATCCTTTGTGAGCCCAGTTGTCATCAGAGTGGGGAATGACCTCAAGCTCAATGCTTTAATGTGTACAGCAGTCACCTGAGGATGTTGTCAGGGTACAGATTTTTTAAATGCAGATATTTAAAAAGTCCTGACAATCTGCATTTCTAACAAACTCCTAGGCCATCCCAACTCTGCTTTTCTGTGAACCCAATGGTATGAAGAATTCCTTTGTCTAGTGTAAACATTATCCATGGTATGGAATTCATTACTTCAAGAGGAAGCAATTTCATTTGGAGAAAGTCCTAACTGATGTTTTCCTTGCATTAACTAAAAATTTGCTTCTCAATAGCTTCCATCCATTAATCTTATTTCTAAGCCTCCAGAATTACAATTATGAAATCAATTTTCTCTTTTACATGAAAAATAAAATTTGAAAAAGTATATTCCATTTGAACTTTTTATTTTAAATTATATATATATATATATATATATACACACACACACACACACACAAATATGTATACACACACACACACACACACACACACACACACCAAAACAATAGAAGTTTGAGTTCTCTCTGCTATTCTGGTTTCTCTAGTCTGGAGTTGCAACATGTGGAATCTATCTGAAATTGAGACTCCAAGACATGAACACAAGTCTCCAGTCCACTTTGGACTGGTGGTATCATGCTTCAATTTATAATCCTATGTTTTCATAAGGCATATCAAATGTCTAAATTGATCAAATGTGCAGGGTTAACAATTCCTCAGCCTCCACTTCAATAGAAATAATAGGTAATTTCCACCCCTACCCTTTCTTATATTCCATGGTGAACACTTATTCCATACCGGCTGATTCCTGCATCACAACCTCATCCTCTCCTTTCCCTGCTACCATATTCACATTGCAGCCTTCATATTTCTTTCAGCCATTGAACTCCTGTGGCCTTCATAGCCACCCACGTGTTGGCATGTCCACAGCCTAGTTGCATCATCCTTGGAAACTGCTTTTCTTCAAGTCCTTAGATTCTAACTGCTGCTTCAAACTGAGCATCAAATGTTCCTCCATCAGTCAAAAGGACCTCATCTGCACCTTTGTTGGGACCTCCTGCCTTCCATTACCCCCATGCTGCAGCAGCCACCATGCCTATCTGATTTCACTCTGCATTCAACCCAATTTGCAATTTCTTATTAAAACAGTTTAGGAAGGCTTAGCCAGCGTATCTATAATGCCTCCTGAAGGTTTCACACTTCTTTTCCCAAATTTCAGCCCTGGAAACTTCTTGCTGTTTTCTTCACTCCTTTCTGGGTAAAAGTGCATGCCCGGAGGAAATTGTCTTTCAACTTACTAATTTCATTAGAAATGCCAGTGATTCAAACTTCACTGTTGATTCTGTATCTCCTTCCCTATAGCAACAGATCCCAAACTTCAACATCCTGAAGTTCCCAACCTCCCCAGGAGCATAAATTTTAACAAATGAACAAATGATCTCACCAACAATTCTCAATTATGACTACAATCAGGCATATGAT